GTACTAGCAGATGGCCTGAAGTGGTGGTGCATCATGTCAATAACATGAGAGAGCTTTTGTGCTGCAGTGCATTCAGAACTGTTGTATACATGATGTTCTGTGTGTTTGTGAGATACTTTTGTAATGCTACGTTGCAGTGATGAGTTTAAAACTGGCAAAGAGTTTCTGAAGACAGAACCTTCTCCAACCACGTACATAGGCCAAAGTGATGCAACAAACCAACTCCCATCTTTATGCAGGAAACTTGGCTAAAAACTTACAGCTTCATAAATGTTCTTTGTGTTTGTAGGTGAGCTGTCACTCCCAGCCCACATCAGCCCATACACAGAGAGCAGGGAAGATGCCTACATCCAGCTGGAGCTGCGGATGTTGGAGCAGGCGCTCCTTGCCACCTGCGTTGGCAGCATTGGAGAGCTGAGTATGTGTGTGTTGTGTCAGTCAGCACAGTAGGCTCCTGTGTTTTGTGTGTGTTTATTTAAACTGTGACCGACGTCGGACTCCTGGGACACAGCGTTTCTCGCTGCCAGCTGCCACTTGGTTCCATAATCTGTGGCTTGTGTCCAAATAACAAGAGCACTTTCAGACCCTGCAGGCCACCGCACCTCATTATCTGGCACATAACCCAGGTAGCTACCACAACTAAAACAAGCTAGCTGCAGTAGGCTAACGTTAGCTTTTAAAAAGAACTTATTTCCAGATGTTTCTTTAGGTTGGAGTCTTTTGACGCTGAGAGCAGCTTGGCTGCACGGTCAGTAAGAAATGCATTCCTGCCTGTGCACTGCTGGCTCTGTTGTGCTGGCGCCGGGTCCATTGTGTAACTGACGCCACCAACATTAACAGGACGCTTACATTAGAGCCTCTTATTGCGTGTTTTGTTTGGGCTTCCTGCAATGCGTGGAATTACCATAATTAGAGAGGGGATGGGCTAACATATGAAACAGGAAATGACCGCCATGTAATGCATTTAACAACGTAACTGTATTCTAATTATCACTTATTTAAGTGGTAACTGTAACAGAATACAGTTACTCATATTTTGTGTTTTTAAATACATTATGCTGGTACATGTACTCTGTTACTCCAGAACTCTGACTATTACAGACCCACTGTGATCCACTATGTCAACAAAACTGGAAGGTTCATAACTCAAAAACACTGGATCAGCAGGTAAATGGCAGATCAGAGGGAAAAATAATGCAAATTAAATTGTAACTGTATGAGCTTTATGGCAAATAATCTCAGCCTCATTATTGCTGTTGTTTTTCTTCTTTTTTTTTACATTATTTCTTTGTCCATAAAACAGACATAAATACAAATATATTAAGTTTATAAACTTTCTGAAATTTCTGAAATATGACAGCCTGTGGTGGTGGGAAATGATCGTTCCCGTCTTTTTGCAGGTGATCTGGTGTGTCGAGCAATGCACCACATGCAGCGTCTAAGAAGCTCGAGTCCCTCCATCAGCCACTCTTCTTCAGCCAATCAAATGCCAGTATCCTGGGCTCCAGATGCCCTCCGCACACTCTACTACTTCCTGTCTAGCCCACAGATGGAATCACTGGAGAATCCCAACCTTGACCCTCCAACCATGACACTGAGCAGAGAGAGGTGTGTGTGTGTGTGTGTGTGTGTGTGTGTGTGTGTGTGTGTGTGTGTGTGTGTGTGTGTGTGTGTGTGTGTGGCCACCTCTATACTGTCTTATGTTAAACTTTTTTCAGGCCATTCTTGCTCCTCCCTCCTCTCATGGAGTGGATCCGTGTTGCCGTGGTGCACGCTGAACATCGCCGTAGCCTATTGGTTGATAGTGATGATGTCAGACAGGCGGCCAGACAGCTTTTGCCAGGACTAGACTGTGAGCCCAGGCAGCTGAGGTAGGACACCAAAGAATAAAACCACTGATCGTGTATACTGTCAAAGCAGGAGTTGACTGATTACCAACCTGTCTGGTTATTGGTGCATTATTCAACCTTCTCAACTAGACTGTATTGAAAGGATGCCTTAGATCCTCCAGGTACAGAAAGACTGCCTAGTGACCACAAAAAAGAAAATGAAATCAAGCCTCCAATCAGGAACCCTGAATATCAAAACAAGCTGTATGGATATCAGTATGAGCAGCATCTAGTCCTCTAATAGGTGGATGTTCTCTAAAAATGCCGTGCAGATAGGAGTTAAATTGATATGACCCGTTTTTTACTGTGTTACTCTGCAGGCCAGAGTGCTGTTTCCAGTTGTTTAAATGTCTGGATGCAGAAGCTGCTTCGGATAAATTCCAGTTGGATTTAGGATTCAGGATGCTCTCGTGTGGCCGAGCAGACCTGCTCCACCACGCTGCCCGGCTTCTAGGAGCTGAAGGTGTCAACACTATAGACGATCAGGTGAGTGCAGCTGTGTGTCAGTGACTGGAACAGATACTAGGTTGATGGTTTATACGTTTAAAATGTAATTCAGAAAACTGCTTAAAAATTTACTGAGAAGACTCCAATCAGAGTAAGGTCAGAAGAGCTCTGCTGGATAAATGTGATACCTTTGTCAGTATACAGATAGATTCATAAGAGACAGAGTCTAATATCAGCAGCTGTGGGACAGCTATGAATAATTTGTTTTCTAATGGTTACAATTTTATTTGCGAAGAAATTCATCAAGTCATTGCTAGTTAAGGTTAAAGGAATAATTGGTTCAACAAAGCTGTGACTCTTTGTCAGTCTGACTGCACTGACACGATGATGTCTCAGCTCTCAGATCTCTTTTTAAAAGATTTATAGAGTTTGAAGTGTGTCTGATTTGTTGGCTTCTTCTTCAGAGTAGTCACATTATCATATGCTAGATAACAGTAACCGTAATAACAGGATCATGGACCTCTGTCGAAGCAGAGTTTAGGTAGCTGCTCTGCATTGTCTCGGCACATGGATGGAAGAAGATAACAGTGGCGGTATCACTTCCTTAAAGTTAGTTCCAGCCCTTTGAGAAAGACATCTACTGTAATGACATGTATTGTCCAGTGCTCATTATTGCAAAATTAAAATGATTATGTGTTTTTATATGTGATCTGCTCATTTTAGCTGACTCTACGAGCCAAACGATGCATTAGTCCGTTTGTTTTGTCTTTCAGACAGATTTACGATCTACAAATGTAAAAATGTAGATTCTTCTTTTGTGCACAAATAATGAGATACAACTGTATCTATTTTCACGATGCAAAATCATTAACATTTTAAAAATCTTAAATACATCTTACATATCATGTGTACATAGTTGCTCTGGTGGATGTCTCCTGATGTGTTTTCCATTGTATTACTTTGTATCTAAATTATGTACATAAATAAAAAGAAACAAAACCTACTATGTGTTCTTGCAGGGAATGAGCCCTCTAATGTACGCCTCAGCAGCAGGAGATGAGGCACTAGTGCAGATGCTCATTGAAGCCGGAGCTCACCTGGACATGCAGGTAAAGAGTGATGGTGGTGTAGGTAAAACCTCATTGCATAACAACAGGTTGTGAAGTATGTGTGTGCTTTATGTTCAGGTCCCTGGCAGCTCTGCCAGACATCCGTCTGTTTACCCAGGCAGTCGGCACTGGGTGGCCTTAACATTTGCTGTGCTTCACAGTCACCTGTCCGTGGCTCAGGTGAGTCCTTCAAACAGACTCCATCAGCAGAAAAACATTTCACTGGACTACTGAAATTAGCATTTTAATTGCTGCAGTGGTCTGACTGAATGAGTCTCTCACAGTATCGTGTTTCTCATGCTGGCAGCTGCTTTTGGAGGCCGGTGCAGACGTGGAGGGTGGAGCCTTGCTGGACAGTCAGGAGAGCTCAGCTGAGACACCACTACAGCTAGCTGCTGCAGCAGGTATCATTCTGCTGAACATTTTAGCGTATGTAATCTGAAGTTAACTGACAAAACTGTAGCTTTACCAAAGTGGACCTTTTTGATCAGAAACACATTGTTAATAAGAATAAATTACAATGGTGTAAATAAAAACTGGTTACAATATAACATCGTGTGGTTGACTGTTTGGTGAAAACTATTTGTATGAATAGATGTTTTAGCAGAATAATGACTTGTATACTGACAGCGCTGCCAGTTTAGGCTCTATGAGGGGCCATGTGACCACGAGTCACACATGTCACATGTCACATGTTTCGAATGGATCCACCAATAGAACATCCGATCTTCTCAGGTTACTACGACATGGTTAGCCTGCTGCTCGCTCACGGAGCAGACCCTCTGATCAAAGTGCATCATGGGAATTCACCGCTGTATGAAGACATGAACTGCTTTAGCTATGCAGCAGCACATGGGCACAGGTGAGACTTAAAGTTCCACATTTTCCAGTTCCTGTTTTACCTTGCTCTTTCACACATATATAGCAACACATTTCCACCTGCAGAAACATCCTCAGGAGGCTTCTGCAGCAGCCACAGCACAGGAAGGAGGACATCCTCTCTCTGGAAGAGATCCTGGCTGAAGGAGTGGAGGATGAGGAGGAAGAGGAACTAAAATTTTCAACACAGCCTCTAGCTCCTGACTCCCCAAGCATTATTCCGAGTTTGTGTAAGAACAGGATGAAGGCCCTGCAGCAGGCAGCCTACTACAGCGCGGAGCACGGCTACCTGGACGTCACCATGGAGCTCAGAGACATGGGTAAGCACGTGATGTCAAACTGAGGAACTCTGAACTGGGGTAATCGACTTTTAATTAAGAAGTAAATACATATGCACTGCAGGCTCCTGGTATAATTTGGAAATGTGCGTAATTAATTTTAAACTTGTGACAGATAAAAACAAAATTTCATGCTGAAGAAATCAGAGGAGAGCAAAATGTGCGATTTACAGTCCTTTACAAAGCTCAGGATGAAAATATCCATGAATATCAGACAGAGATTCATCATGAGCTTCATAATGAGCCCAGTTACACCTTATTTATTACTTTAATTGGCTCGAATGAAATCAAATTGATTGAAAAATTAGTTCATTAAAAAAACACACGTCCAGTGAAGTGAACACATTGAAACTATTAGCCTATTGTGCAGCCCTAGCACAGTACCAAGAAGCAGGCACAGAGGTGTATTTATGAAGCTCATTGCTGGGACATGAAAATCTACCTCAAGTGTTCACTGCTTGATAGAGTTATTATAATCTGACAGGAGGGTGTGTCGACATATAGAACAATCTGGAAAACAAAGAAAACATGTTTCAACAGCGAGCGTTTAAAACTGTTATCTAGTATTTTTAAATACTTATCGGTTTAATAACGCTCCAAGTAACCAGTTTCAATTCATAACCTTTTCTTTTATGGTCAGGTGGGATGTGATGGACTGTAAGCGATTAGCTGCTGAGACTCAAACGTGAGACCAGTCCAAAAATACATTCTTTCTGCTTACATGAAGCAGCTCTCTGGTTCCGAGAACTCAGCTAGTAGAGTCAAATACGGTGGCCCTGAGAGGCCAAACGGACTGCAACTTAAGAACACACCAGCAATAAGAAAAACGCTGGAAAAGCACATAAAACACAACGGAAATGGGAAAAAACACAAGGGAAGTGTTTCTGGGGAGACAATAACCCGACGGACCATTTGCAGGAATATGCTAAGATTGCGCTGAGAGACGTAAAAGAAGTTGAGGATGTGACAGCTAGTGCTGTCAGCGTTAAACACGTTAGCACGGTTAGCTCGTTAACGCGTTTAACGCTGACAGCACAAATTTCAATATAAATTTGAACCCTTTTTTTGTTGTCCATGAGGTGTGCACGTTCTCTTTGTATTTGTGTGCTTCAACAAATGAAAGTGAAATAAACTGAATGAACTAACAAAAGCATTCAAAATCCAAACTTTGTATGATGTCAGGAAACTTGGTGGTTTTCCATATATTGCATTGAAAGCGTCTTTATAAAAGGAACATTTGCAATCACCTGCCTGCAGCTTCCTATTTCCTTTGGCTTTGATGAGCAGCGATCCAGAGAGCGGCGGGGAAAAACAGAGTAGTTTAACAGCTTGTTGCTTCTGGCTCCAACTGCACAAAGACCTCAAACACGTTCCCTGGTTCCCCCTCGCTGATCTCTCCAGGTGTCCCCTGGAGGCTGCACATCTGGTTAGAGTCTCTGCTCAGAGCCCAACAGCTGTGTAGGGACGATGTCATCATTTCCCTCCTCACAGAGTTCACCTCTATCAGGACGGAGGACTACAGCCCCGGGCTTCTCTCCACGGGCATCCCGCTCATGTTCAGCATGTTGGAGACCACCAAGGTACAACTCAGCACCTCTGCATCTCTGATTATGTGGATTTTCCTGTCTTTCCATAATTTCATGGAAATGCGGATGAAGGGTTTGAGGCAGAGCAGCTAAACAAAAGAAACAGAAATGATGATTCCTGACCTGTCTTGAAAAATAGCGATGGTACATTTTTATTGTTAAACAGATTTTAGAGAGTGGTGTCACACTCTGTGCCCAGTACAACAAACATCTACTAGCTCTACAAGGTGGCGGAAGTTCAGTTGGTTTTTTGCTCCCATGCATGAAAGACAAACTGTGTGTCACAATGATACTGCTGCAGAACGTGACGAAGCGTGGTTCCCGACCACTCCCACACTTTTGAAAAGGTACAAAGAGCCAACCATTTGGGGACATTTATACCTGCACTGGGGACTATTCTGAAATTCAAACCTGTTCAAACTATGACACCATATTATAAAAATATTTTCTCATTTATTTACATACTTGTTTGTTCTTTGGTAATTTCTCAGTAAAGTTCATCACAGCACTCAGCAGTGGCATTAGTGTGAACCACGTTCACACATCCATCAGTGTCATACTCACATGCTGATGGATGCTTCGGGGAAAATTTCCCGCAGATGCTTCACCACTGGAGGAGTCAGAGTTTGGATCATCAGTCTTCTTATATAATACAGCATATATAAAGGACTGTGTGTGTGGATGTGTGCTGCTGAATGTGCAGAGGTCAGTGCTACGATGATCTCCTGTTCTGTTTTATTCTATGCAGGACTACGTGGTAACAAAGCGTCTGGCGACTGTCTTTTCTCTCTGCTACGGCTCGTCTCCCGTTCCTCCGGTCCCACCTTTGGACGTCACTCTGTCCACACAGCTGGGTAACACTCCCCTCCTGCCAGTGTCAATGTTTAACATGTTACATTTGACCAACTTATGAAGGATTACATGGTTGTCTCTGCTCAGATATTCATTTTCTGAACAACAAAGAGATGTCAGATGTGACATTCATGGTGGACGGGCGCCCATTCTTTGCACACCGAGTGCTGCTGATGTCTGCGTCAGACAGGTATCATCTCTCTTCTCTGACTGACATGCCTGTTATTATTAACCTATAAGAGGCTGCAGACATGTTCTAGTCAATGCAAACAAAATTAATGTGTAAGGGCATGTAGCAAAAAGACTTTACAATGCAAGAATACAGGCTCGTGCACACAATGCTTGGAGAAATTGCATAACATGTAAATTGTAAGTAGTTAAATTTCCAATAATGAGGTCAGGGTATATGTGTAAATAAGAAGTCTGGGTGAGCTAACAGCTCAAGCTTTTGACTCCTCTAAACGCTGCATTTCACAGTTTTTCTACTCTTGGATCTGTATGATGTCACTGAGAGCAGATATTATTAATATGATTAACTCTACAGCTCTAATTCAGACAGAGAAGGACATGAGGGACTGCACATGGCTCTAGTGTAAAGTTATTTTGAGCTCTTATTTAAGCAAAGCTCGTCTAGAAGAGTTATGATAAGTGAAATCCCCCAACAGACTCTCCAAACATGCTGCTGACTCAAAAACACTTAAGCACACTATAAAATGCTGACAGTGTGAAATTAACCTAAGATGTGAAGCAGCTTTGTATAATTCATAACAGAGGAACCTGTCCACTACACTAAATATTCTGATGTACGTATGTATTGGAGTAGGCGTGTTCAGATCCAGTAAAGTGGGATTTGGCAGGTTGGACCAGTGTGAGGGAAGAAAATAATTTAGAAATAAGACAAATACGCCTCAGCAGTTTTTTTTCTTTGCATACAGGCTGTGATCAGCTGACCTGTTTGTGGTTGCTGCTTGCCGCCCTTGATTCTGACACTGCACTGCCGTAAGCTTCACCACAGTACTGCTCGCTAAGCAGTTTAACCTGCACCAAACTGTATTTTCATGAAACCTTTGAGTAATACAAAATAATTATACCTTAACTGTTTCTTCTCACAATATGTGAGATCAATTTCAAAATATCAACATTGTGAAATGGATCCAATATTATTATTTTTTAAATAGCACGTGTAACTTCACTGAGTGACCCGACACGGCTCCGTGGGTGTGTTTTTGCCTTTTTCTTTTATTTTGATACAATCCGTTTTTATTATTCGTGGCACTTTCCGGCGCACGCTGCTCCAGCAGCTCCTCTCTCTCCGGCCCCGGCTGCTACTGAAATAGGGAAGACCTACACAGCACACCCTGAACCTGCTGCTCCACTCCTCCCCTGCAGCCGAGCCACCAACCACACCCGGACACATCATGATTTAGAACCAAACTTTAAATGTTCATTTTAACAAATGGCGCTGAGCACCTAGAAATGAACCTTTCATCCACTAATAGGAGGCATTCCTCAGTGAGCTTCCGTGTGCTATGATAACCAATGAGAGAAAGTATCCATTTTAATGTGATTATTGATCATTAATTCTTTCAGTAGAAAGTTTATGTGAACAAGTGGCCTCGAATGTCACCGCCTATTTAAAGAATGAAATGTGTCCTGATGTGCGTTCTGTCCTGGCAGGTTTCGCCAGCTGCTCGCAGATTCCCCCGATAACATCGTCCACATCAATCACATGACCTACGGCACCTTCCAGGTGAGGAACTAGCTTACTCCTTGTGCTTCGGTGCAGATGTGACTGAGACGTTTAGGTGGATGAAGGCTGTTTGTTTCCCTGCAGATGATGATGAAGTCTCTGTACTGTGGAGGAACTGAGGGGCTGTCTGTGTCTCCCTCTGAAGCCTTGAAGGTAAACGTCCCACAGACTGTGAGTCAATGCCTGCTCCAGTCTGGGCCTTTTTTAGGATTTCCAGCTTGTTGTGGATTGTACTGGTTTGTGTTTCATTAGATGAATCTCTTTAAGCCACTGACTGTGAGGTAGGTTTAAACTATTTATGACTTACTTCTGTCACCGGGGCAAATATTTTAGACGGCATCTGTTATTTTCTGTTGTTTCTGCTGGCAAATCAGTCAAACATTTCTTTTTGGGAACGTGCTTTTTTGGACAGGAGCAGCGATCGTGGCTCAAGAGTTGGGAGTTCGCCTTGTAATCGGAAGGTTGCCGGTTCGAGCCCTGGCTCCGACAGTCTCAGTCGTTGTGTCCTTGGGCAAGACACTTCACCTGTTGCCTTCTGGTGGTGGTCAGAGGGCCCGGTGGTGTCAGTGCGCCCCAGGGTGGCTGTAGCTGCCATCACCAATGTATGGGTGGATGACTGGATGTGTAAAGTGCTTTGGGGTCCTTAGGGACTAGTTAAGCGCTATACAAATACAGGCCATTTACCATTTTTACCATCAGGTTATTACTATGGCAGAAGTACACATCCACAAATGATTTTAATGTGTATTCACCACTCGTGTGTGCATATCCAGCTTTGTAAATAGTGTAAAGTACACTGATGGTTTACTCTTTGGTATCTGTCTCATAGCTGTTGCCAGTGGCCACTTTCTACCAGCTCCGAGGTCTGCAAAGACGCTGTGAAATGTCACTGTCGCAAAGCCTTACTCTGGACAATACTGTCAGCATATACAAGGCTGCTAAGGTAAAAACACACAAGCTGACATGTAAGACAGTTAGATATCTGGGACACAGCTTTTATTCAAACCATAGACTGCATATGAAAGCACTGCCATGAAAAGTAGCAGTAGTAGTAGCCACGGCAAATCTAAATATCCCAAAAAAGATGAAATTGAAGGGGAGACTGATCAAACATAACTCAGGTAAAGTTTTGGATTGTTGCCTTTTGATGGGCAGTTACAGAACCTGATGATAGGACTCGTATAAACTCCACCACAAACTGTTTCTCTCACTTTGTTACTTTAGAGTACAGATAAAATAAAGAATAGGCAGAATTTGTGATTTCTCATATTACATTTGATTGATTGGACCATGTTCTATTTAGACCTTCATGCTTCAGGCTGTGAAACTAAAAACTCGAGCCTTATTTTCTTTTAGGTGTAAAAATTATTGTATTTTTTAATGGTGACTCGAATTTCAAGATCATAATAGAAGGAACAACTGTTTGCATAAATGTTGCTGCGAAAAAAATCGCCAATGAAAAATTTCTTATATCAACATCATATATAAAATGGATTATCGCAGAGACACTGACTCAGCTTCTGCACTTGCAGCACCATGGAGGAGCTGAACTCTGCAGGTTTTGTGAAGGATTCTTCCTGCAGAACATGGATCAGCTCCTGGACAGGGAGGACTTCCACAGCCTGCTGCTAGGAGGTCTCAGTCAAGAGCTGCTATACCCAGGCCTGGGCACCCGGTCTGGACTCGTCCAAGATCAGGATCTACTGGTCCTCCTAAGGGACCTGGAGAATGTACTTATCCAGAGACTTTATATCCTCCACTCTGCATGTCGAGAGTAGAAATGGTGGAAATGTTGACTGTGTTCGACCACACTCGTATGTGTACCTGGGAATAGAAGCCATACTGTATATAGTGTAGAGACACATTTTAGTGTAGAAGAATCCCAGTATCGATGATCTTAATTAACAGCTCTTAACTGGTTGAAGGTTTTCCTGTTACTCTGGATTTGACTCTGATGTTGGTCAGAAAAAAGGATCAATGTCACGTTTGGCTCTAGTTAGCTGTGATGAGTAAACGATCATTTCTTCATTTAATTTTCTGAGTTTTCACTCGGAGGATGTGTGTTTAATAAAGACATTATCTCAGACCACCTGTTAAAGCTGGTGATTTAACGTGTTAGCATTACTTTACATTATTTTAGCCCATATTTGGGAAGCACGCCAACACCAAAAAAGAATAATGAGAAATATCAGTACTCATTTAAAATGCAACCTTAGGAAAACATTTTCTACTCTGACTTACTGTCCATGAAACGGCTAAATGGTTTGATGACATTTAAATAAAGATTTATGGTCTGGGGAAATATAAGGAAACTCAGTTTGAAACCATCATAGATGATAGCACTGCTGTCTCAGAATTGACTGGTTAATTGTTTGGTCCATATATTGTTAACAGGACAGACTGTCTGGGAATATTAAGGTGTTACCATTGATAAGGTGAAAGGTGCTACATCAATAGGCTTTCAAAACAGATTCATTTGTTGAAAGTGGGAGAAAAAGACTGCCTGTAAAGAATACCACCAATGAGCCTGAGTGACTGCGAGCTTCATTTATGGCTACATTTACAGAACATCTTATTAGTGTAGCTAATCCAAGATGGAATCCAAGATGGCGCCAGTGTGTACGCCAGGCCGTCTTAGTCTCCCCAAGCTCTGAGTACTGCTTGCCGTTTTGCTTTATGTATGCTTCCCGGCTGTTTTTGCACTAATTGCCTATGATCGTCAAACTCTTTTGAATCTTCGACCATTGAACCATCAAACACCAGACGTACACTGGGAACCAGGGACTTTCCCCCCGCTTTCGACGGATATTCTTCCCACGCCACCTGTCTTTTGCCCCCCTACAGAAAAAACAACTTAGGAGACAGGGTAAACGGAGCGGTATCCGTGAACGCATCAAGGCCTACCTAAAGTCACACGAAATGATTAACCACTATGTTATCTTGGATATTTTATGTTCCTCCCCATCCTTCCAGGACTGGTCTACCTTTAGGCTGATTCGCCATGTCAGCCAGCATGCCCACTCGGTCTACCTGCTTGGTGTTGGATGCAGACCTCCAGAGGTGGCGTGAAGCACAGCAATCTTCGCCGGTTGAGGCGCACTCCTAGAAGTGATAATGTGACTACGATCCGGATGGCACTGCTCAACACCAGCTTATTAAAGAACAAGTCCTTAATCCTAAATGACTTTTTTCTCTCATCAAGGTGAGATTTCTTGTTCCTGACGGAGACTTGGGTACGCCCCGGTGAGTCCTTTTCCTTTTTGGAACTTCTTCCCCCAAACTGTGCCTTTCTGAGCTGTCCTAGGACCTCGGGTAGAGGTGGAGGGCTAGCCTCGGTCTTTAAAAACAAATTTTGAGTACGGCAATTGCCTCCTGCCATGTACTCCAAGGCCACACACTTGATCTGGTATTGTCATATGGTCTGGACATGCACATTACGGATATAAGCGACGCTCGGATCTCGGACCACTTCCCAGTCATGTTTGATATTGAACTTTGTAATGTGGAATTGAATTGTGCCAAGTGTGCACGATTAATCCTGAGATTACCAGCTTCTCTGTGGCCTTTTTAAAAGATCTCAAAATATTGAGAATTTCTTTCTTAGAAGGCTAAAATACAACCAGAAGCAGAGAGCAATGTCAGGGAAAGGTGGACTGAGCAGCAGTCATCATTGTCACCTGTGAGTTCTACAAATGAAGGTATGTGTGAGAATGAATAAGGAAAATGCAAGGAAGGGGTGTTTATATTGTCAAGTGTTCAACCGATCCTAATATTTGGGGATAAATAATTAACTAAGCAAATATATGTATTGTGGCACATAATTGGAAAGTAAAACAAAATCCTTCTT